GGTTAATTATTCATATTTCCCCATGAGTTAAATTCGCTACAGTAAGAAGTAAAAACTACAATTTGAGACCAGAAACACATCACATAACTGTAAGAGTAAATAATAATTATAATAATGATGATAATAATAATAATAATACTATGCACCCGTTTGTAAGGAAGCTTGTAAATGAACTAATTTCTCTATCCAATGCTGTCACGTCACGTGACAAATGAACGAACGATTCGAAAGACTTGAGAGATGAACTAATCAATTCTCTTTCCGGCTCAGACTGCATTGGTTAAAGTGTATGGGGCTGTCACGTGATGAACGAACGACTCAAACCCGAAGACTCGAGAGATGAACTAATCAATTTTCTTTCCGGCTCAGACTGCATTGGTTAAAGTTTATGGGGCTGTCACGTGATGAACGAACGACTCAAACCCGAAGACTTGTCAGATAAGAGGTGAGGTGAGCTAATCATAGACTGAAGACCCAGGTAAACAATGAATTAATCTTTTCTGTTTCTTATAGCAGTTTTGTATCGTTTGTAGTGTGATCAACGTTTGCGTAAGTAGTAGACGTGTTAGGGAAGTAACACGTAACATTTTAATTATATTTTTCTAAAATGAACGAAATAATTCGAAAAAAGATTCGTTCATTTTGCTGAACGAGACTCAAAGGTCCGAGTCGGGAAAATGATCCAAACTTCCCATCACTAATGATTTCTGGGCATTTCTTCTCTCTACTTCCTGCTTGTTTGACTTTCTGCACACAGACTTTGTTTCCTCAGTATTGCAAGGAAGCCTCTTGTGATAAACCAAACAAATAGCATGATCATTGAGTTCAAACCAAAAAATTAAATGTTGATTTTTTTGAAGGCGATGTTTCCAAATCATAAAACACTCCAGACATTCAAGCTGTACAAGTGCTGGCATCGCGTTAAAGGAACATGATTCATTTATTCATGCGGCTGAGAAAATAAATTACACACACCACAAATCAGATCACACATTTTCACTTCTAAATTATCTTCTAAATTATGAGCTCTCTCTCTCTCTCTTTTGTGAATTTATATTCATTGTATCTGTATTGGAGTTAATACTTTCAATAAGGCCAACATGGAATATGCTGACTTTGCATTTTCTATGTTTTGGGAAAAATCTGCAGAATTTTGTGAAATAGATTTAAATGTGGAAAAATGTATTAATGCTGAGTCTTATTAGTTGCTTAAAGCATTTTAACTTCAAATGTGCTTCAGTACTGCTCTTCACAAAGTAGCTGGAACTTCTTTTATTGTTAACAGACATGATGTAAAGTAAACACATGAGGACGAATGACCGAAGCTGGGAAATTTCCCGGCAAATCGAATCAGACATCTCTCAAAATTAAACATTATTGTAGGCTTACTGGTAAGGCAAGAACACTGATTTGACTCAATAATTCATTTGCTGTGGCGTTTTGCAGACACAGATTCCGTGTGGGACTGTTCAATAATGCTGCCAAAGAAATTACAGAAAAAATGCTAAGCTAATGCTAATATGGGTTTCTGTTAGTGGCCAATACTCATGTTTATCCATTATTTATCCAACTATGTTGGAACTGAGTGTCTCACTCTCTCTGTCTCTATTTTTCTGTCAGTCATTCTCAGTATTAATACATTAGTAACATTGTGCAGCGATTGCTCTGGGAGTCAGTCAAATGGTCTTACACCCCTCTATGGCAGGTCTTTAAAGTGAGGAAACATGACAGCATTATACCTTACCTCAGACAGCAGCTTTCCCAAAGCCCAAAAGTCCTTCCAAAGTCTTGAATTTACACTGTGGAGCAAACAGCATTGGGGGAAAAAAAGGATACAGCCGTACTCCTCCAGAACGAGTGCCAATGGCAAGGATCTTCTGCACCGCGTCAAATGCCAGAGCTGTGGGCTGATAGGGAAATCCATGACGCACCGTCTACAGAGAAAGGAAAACAGAGAAAGCGTGAAAAAAAAGAAAACATGCTGTGCTACATTAAGAACAAACTACTGTAGGCAACTTTACTCATTCATTCCCACATAATAGTGACACAGCCTACGGCCTGCCTGCATCCCTTGCTACTCTCCTGAGAACTGCTCACATGAAACAATACTTCAGCATTCGCTGCTCAATGTGCAGCCACCCGCTCCTTCCCATCTCCTACAAGATATATTCTGCAATATTTATTGGTTTGGCATACTATTCAAAAGTTTGAGGTTGGTAGGATGTTTTAATGTTTTTGAAAGATGCCTCTCATGCTCACCAAGGCTGCATTAAAAAATGATTGTAAAATACATTATTTTAAAGTAACTGTTGTCTATTTTAATATACTTTAAAATTAATTCCTGTGATGACAAAGCTGAATTTTAGAGTTAATCAAAAGTTAACTCTTTCCAATGCTGTACCTTTCATACTACCTGCATTCTGTCTGCAAAAAAAGTCTCTTCTCCTATTAAAGTTTGACATTATGTTGATAACACCATAAAGTACAGGTCAAATTACTCAAGTCAGTAAAATAACAAAACAGATTATGCCCTGCTACTTAGTTTACTTAAAGCAAAATCACTTGGGATTTGAACCCGGGTCCCTTTCAATCACATAATCATATATCATCAAAGATGATGATGACACCAGATCACTTGATTGAGCTACTAAATCATATGGCACTTCATGCTGCCACCATGCTGACAACACTTTCCATCTCGTTTCCTTTTCCATGTCTCCATGTCTACAATCTCAACAAAGATCTCAGCATGCCCTTCTGGCACCTCGCTGACCACTCAAGCTCAACTTCATCAAAACCGAGCTCCCCTACCCCCCAGCCAACACTCCCCCACTCAGTCTATCTCCATCTCAGCTGAAGGTCACACAGCTGTCAACGCTTGCTGTGCAAAAACGATGGTGCCCCTCAAGACCAACCATCACATTCATGGACAAAACTGCAACAACCACCTAAACCAGCCAAAATCAAGCTTTTCCTGCACTTCTACACCAAGCAGTTGGTTTCGTTTCTGCTTATTTGATAACAAGATTATTCACTTCTTACTGGCCTTCCTGCATCTGCTATATGACCTCTTAAACATATTCAAAACATTGCTTTTGATCTCAAATTCAATTCAATATAATTTCATTCATATTACCACAGAATCAATACACACAAATCAATGAATAACCTAAATAAAGTATTATTAATTAAGAAATAAATAAGAAATAAGTAATCAGTAATGCCAACATAAAATATATTAAAATTAGCAAGCTATTAAATGAATGTAAGGTAGGTTAAATGCCTTACTCAGGGGCCTAATGTTGATTGCTTGCTGCATTTGGGTCTTGAACCAGCAACCTTCTGGCTAAGAGCCCTGAGCTTTATTCTGTAAATCACACTGCATTTAACCTCTAGAATTTCTCACGCATATCACGTTTACACAAATCAAAGTCAAGATGCTGTTATCTGCCATTAGCAGACAGCTAACTGTAAGGGCGGCTCCTGTGGAGCATCACCGGGTTAAGTGCTTTGCTCAAGGACACAACGGTGACATGGGAATCGACCTGCTAATTCACCTGCAACCAGTGGTAATCTCGTTATCAATAAAATTACTGACAAATTGCTTGTCACTGATGAGTTTAATCAATAAAAAGGGCAACAATGTGCATCATGATGACAATTTAATAATTTGACAAAAAAATAACACTACAAGCTAACAATGATTTTGAAGAAAAATCTACAAAGGAAATAATTGTTTTAAATAATGCAGTCACAATCAATAATATCAGAGATTGACCTGTTTGAGCTGGTGAAAGTGAATGAACACCAGTAATCTAAAGTGCTATTTTAGTGGGCTAACTAACTCAGTATGAGATTAATAAAATATATAGACATAAATAAAATATTACATTTAATTGCATCTGCACAAAATACACAAGTGGACTAAGTAACGTGATAGTCAAACTGTGTAAGTCACGTTGTGTTTCCATAACAACGCAATGAACCAGAAACAATGAATAATCGCATAAATATTCATACATACTGTATATCATTACACTAATTACAGCAGTGTAATCAATGTTACTTCAGAAGATCAGGTTTTTACAACCGGACAGTTTTCACACGTTTTTGTTAAAGAATTAGTTCACTCCAGATTTAAAAGTTCCTGATAATTTACTCACCACTGTGTCATCCAAGATGCTCATGTCTTTCTTTCTTCAGTAGAAAAGATATTAAGGTTTTTGAGGAAAACATTCCAAGATTTTTCTCCATATAGTGGACTTCAACGGGGACCAACGAGCTAATGGTCCAAACTGCAGTTTCAATGCAGATTCAAAGGGCTCTACACGATCCCAGTCGAGGAATAAGTGTCTTATCTAGCAAAACTATTTTTTCTAAAAAATAAAAAAATATTCATATACTTTTTAACTACAAATGCTCATCTTGCACTAGCTCTGCGATGCGCGTGACACATATTTATGTCTTTGTATCAGTTTATTTTTTTTAAATGGTCCATTCGTGTGTGTATCCAGGATGTTTAAATTTTTTAAAACCTAAAAAACGTATTCTGCTAGGAAAAAAACGTGACCTTTCCAACGTGATTACAGAATGCGTGCAGTTGTGGATGTGCATTACAGAGCTAGTGAAAGACAAGCATTTGTGGTTAAAAAGAAATGGCCAATGATTTCGCAAGATAAGACCTTTATACCTCGCCGGGAGTCGTGTAGAGCCCTTTGAAGCTGCACTGAAACTACAATTTGGACCTGTAGCCCGTTGGCTTCCATTGAAGTCCACTACTGTATATGGAGAAAAATCCTGAAATGTTTTCCTCATAAAGTAAAACAACAGTAACTCAAAACATTTGTTGGTACATGTCAGAACACATGAAACTTGAAACTTTTCCTTATATTAGCTGCTAATTTACATTTCTGCTCCACACACCTGTCCACTTGTTGCAACTGGCTTCACGTCAATCTTAAATAGCCAACAAAACAATTAAAGAGCTTCAAAAGTTCCCAAGCCTCTCACTAGCGAGTCACTTATGCGACATTTTACACAATGAACATTTACCTTGTTACACTTGCAGCAAGCTGCCTGCAATCACTGTAATCAATTGAGCTGGTCGGGGGCCTGCTTCAAATCATGCCGCTCTGAGTGTTTTATTTGGTGCACTGAACTGTAAAGAAGCTGTCCAGAGTGTGTGCTCTGAAATGCAAGAGCAGGTGCTTTCCACAGCCATCGGAGCTGGAAGCATGCAACGAGAGCCGTCCACAGCCTGCGGGTCTGTGCTAGTGCTCTGGCGCTGGCGCTGGCCACCACAGATGGTGCTGAAATCCATAACACATGCGGCTCCAGAGTTGTGACGCAAATTGTGACACTGTCCAAAAATATTTTAGAAACAATTCTGCAGATTAGTGTCGAATGCTTCCTCATTGGGACACTAACAGAGAGTGTAACAAATTCAAGTGGTCCATGAGTTAATTTGACTTTTTTTTTTTGTTACATTTGACTGTAAAAATGCGCATTCACTTTCCCCATTTGTTTGGCTCCCTTATGAAGGTACGTTCATCAATAATTCATCTGCAGGGCTCTGGACTGATGCAAGCAAGTACTGGATGAATGAGCAGGATGGAGTGATCACAAAGCAAGCAAAAGACATAGAGAGAGAGTGAGAGAGACGGGATGAGTGTGTGTGATGTTCTATCCATGGCTATTAAGCAGGAATAGAGCTGTGACGAAACCGTTGTCATGTTCAAATTTTCTCGACTTGTGACTACAGCTGCAGGTTTATTGTCTGCGTCTGCATGGGCGTGGCTGCGTTCGATGTTTCAGTGCCTATGTGTGTGTTGCCTTATCGTCTCTATTAATCAAACGAGTGCTAATGAATGCCTCGGCGTATAGATTTTCATTCAGTGCTTTGCTTTATTGCAGACTATTTAAGCATCCCCCTCCCATTCCCTCTTCATCTCTGGGTTTCTCTCCTCTCGCTCTGTCTCTCGCTCTCTCATACTGATATGGGCTGTTGTCTCTGCCGTTTAGATATTCAATTTCTCCACCCTGTTTCTACTACTCCATGCTGCTCTATCACTCTTAAAGAGACAGTTCACCCAAAATCGAAAATTCTGTCAAGGTGTACTCAAACCTATGTACATTTCTTTCTGTCATACAGACATTCTATTTGGAACGACACAAGGGTGAGTAAACAATGACAGAATATTCATTTTTGGGTGAATCGTATCTTTAAGTTTGCATGAAGCAACCATTTCTTTCAAAAGTTTGGGGTCAGTTACTTATTTATTAAATCAAACCTTTCCACAAGGATGCATTAAATTGATCAAAAGTGACAGTGCAGACATTTTTTTTAATTAGTTACAAAAATACGTGTTTAATCAAATCAAACATACTGATACTTACACTATCTTTTAAAAGTTTACGGTCAGTACCTTTTTTTTAAGAAATTAAATCCTTTTGTTCAGCAAAAAGCCATTAAACTGATCAGAAAGAAAAGTGAATACTTTTACATTCCATTAAAAAAAAAAAAAGAATCAAGGTTTCCACAAGAATATTAAGCAGCTGTTTTTACCATTGATATTCAGCCAAATCAGCATATGATAATTTCTGAAGGATCATGTGACACTGTAAACTGGATTAAGGACTGCTGAAAATTCAAATTACAAATAAATAAATTATATATTTAAAAATATATTCAAATACAAATATTATTTAAAATTGTAATATTATTTCACACATTTTTTTTTACTATTTTTGATTATAAATGCAGCTTTGCTGAACATAAGCATCAAAAACATAAAAATCTACATTTAAAGCCCAAACTTTTGAATGCTAGTGTATTTATCTCATTGACTTCCTTAGTGGCTTTTACCCATGATTAAATATCATTGAGCCACAAACATACGACTGAAACAGCACATTCTTGTTCACTCCCACTCAC